TTTTGCTGCCTAAGACTTTTGTATATTACTGTATATCACATTCTGATTATTTACAGCTCAATAAAATGAAAGGCACAGACTCAACCGGGAAGATGTCCATCTCAAGCTTAGGTTACATCGAATGAATTAAGTAATTAGTAGACATACACACCTAAGTTCATGCACTCCATAGCTTCTGTGAACATGTCATTGCTGAAGATCAGCTCAATGAGTCTCTGCGTGGACTTGTCCAAGGTACATGGTAGAATGTTCTTTACGACCCTCCCACCGGCCTCATCCACCACGTCCATCTACAAAAGGGACATGGACAGTATCACTACTCAATGAAGCACCATGTGTTTTTGTACAGGTCTGACAGGAAGGCCTACTTGTGTAGGTCACTATAAAGGGGAGTTCCACTGAAACTCACTTATCTGGCTAATCATACTTCCCTTTTTTTGGATATTTAATCTGCAGGGACACAACAGAAAGACAGTCCTGTGTCTTGAACTGATATATTTATTGTTTCCTTCCCTGCAGTGTATATTATAGGCAGTGCTCGAGAGCTTCATAACATTTGGTAATAATATAGATATGTACTGTAAGGATTCATGGGAAACTGTTAAAATGAAAAACCTCTAAATCATTAATATCACTATTCCCTATTTTATTAATATTTTAAACTGGCACTACATGCTTTCAGCTACAGACATCAAAGACACTCAGACATAAATATAGTATATTTGTTAAGAGTTATGGGGCTAATTACAGAGATGAGTTCTGAATACATGCACCACCCAGTGGGTAGTGGTGGCTTAATGGTTAGGGAAGTGCTTTTGTAATTGAAAGGTTGCTGGTTTGAATCCCAGACTAGCAAGGTACCACCCCCATGCACTGCTCCTTGGGTGCTGAATTAGCTGCCCTTTGCTATGTCATGTATGGGTTAAATGCAGAGGACACATTATGTTGTTGTGTGCTGTGGTATGGCAATTAATTACTTCACCCATCAGCTTGAAATTTGTGAGGCACTGTAACACAGGTAACACTGTTTATACATGCATGATAACATCTGGTGATAATCTAAAGGCAGCATTACATCACATTTGGGTAAAATTCACATGAGGGTAACTACTACAATATTTCTACTAAGTTATACTGTAGATGAGAGATTTCTCACCTTCACCTCCGCATCCTGGTCTCCATCCACTTCAATCAGCGTGTATTTCCCTGGGTGAGAGACAAACCTTTCCCTGTCACCCCACTTGTTTTTTGTCTTGTCTTTAAACTTCTTCTCAAATATTTCAATAGCTTCTTTAGGACTGGAGAATCCACCGAAAGCTGCGGAGGCGCCGATCTCTCCCTAAAGGAACGTGAAGAGAAATCTCAAGCCTCTGGCCAAAATCAGTGCTCACTCTCACAGGCTTACAAAGGCGATAGCCTCCAAACACAATGTACTCAAGGGTGTCACATTTAAAATCAGCTGAAGTGGATCAATGTTGAGTGGACTTACCACTCTGCCCCACCTTGTCCAACAATAGAATTCTCCATGTCCCGTTTGTAAAACTTGAATAACATAAAATTTGTTGTTGTTCTGGCCAATGTTGGTTTGATTAAGCATGCAGTCATAGTCTCCATATACCTGGTGGGTGGAAAAAATATGAAACCTAACCCACAAAAATCAAATGCAATACAGGGTCACTTCTGTCTGTCACTCTATTTCCATCATTTCATCTACCCACCCATTTTTTAGCTGCTTAACTAATACAAACAAAATGTCTCTGAATTACAACATGTATAACAAAACGTGATACAATGATTCATGATACTGTACATGCTTTTTGACTACTTTTAGTCAATGTGTAGTAGGGTGTTCACAATATGAATGAAATAAATTTAAATTTATCATCTAATTTCTATTACGGGAGATTTTGAGATAGGTCTGCCAGATCATATGTCTGTAAGCAATGGACACATATCAAATAGCACACAGGTATGAGATGTGAACCCTCAACAATGTTCCCTGTCAGCCACCAGTGTTAGTATTATGATGATGATTATGAAAGTCATTTTATTCAGACACACTAAAACAATGTGTGGTGGATTCATTTGGTCAAATCAAATCATATTTTAACATCACTTACATATATTTATTTAGATGTCTTTCCAATAGGGAAGAAAAGCCCCAGTAACACTGGGAGAGGTTATACCCATGCATACTTTGGACTCCCCCACACAACTGTTAACACTACACCTTGCTGAGTGCACTGCTGCTATTTCCTGATCATTGTTCTCAACTGTGAGTCATCAACTATCTGGCTGTTTAAACCCCAATGTCTTCCCTTTAGTTGTTAAGTCTTTTGTTTAGCGTTCAGTCCCGGCAATAGGTGTGGGCTAGAATTCTTTTATGTATTTACTTTATTTAGCTAAAGTTTTTTTTTCCCCTCAAAGCAATGGACATGTGAGGCAAATAGCACATTACAAACATGTGTGCTTTTAAAGAGTTGAGTAGGCATAAGTGCAGCTAGGCTGAGCTTCCAATAAATTGCCTTATGGTTCTGGATTATCCTTTAATAATTTGTTTGTCATTAATCATCATGGGTTTTGGAATTAAACAACATTCTGGATTATTATTCTTTGGAGCCTGTACTGTGTTATAAAAAGACTCAAACTCAATTCAAAGAACTGGGGATGAATTCAAACCTACAACCACGTTATGGTGGTGAGACAAGAAGTGTAAGGCACCTTGATGCTCTGAATCTTAAGACATTCACATAAATATGGAGAAATGACACTGAGTAAAAACCCTAATAAAATGTAATATGCCATATACACACATATTCCTCAAAAGCTACAAACATGTAGCTGAAAAGCAGTAAACAGATAGAAACACATCAGTTTCTTAGAGTGATAAGAAGCAATGATTGATTATTTGATTTACTGATTGATGGAATGATTGATTTGTGCGGGAATATTGTGGACCAGTGGACTAACCTGGGCTGACATGTGCTCACGTTCAAAATGCGTATCTGCCTTTCTCTGGCTCTTCTCCTGTGGTGCTGCTGCCATTAGGGCCTCCTTGGCTGTCCTAAAAGCATCCTTTGGTGCGCTGGACTCCTCCTTCACCTTCTTTCCACCTGCTTTTGTGGCTGAGGCTGCCTTTCTCTTTGGTGCCATTTCTCAAGAGTTCTTCTCCTTGTAAAACTACACACAGTATTTATTATTGTTAATATATAGCCACCTGTCACTCATGCCTATACACAGGTGATTCCTAAAGTATTGCTTTTAAAAGGGTTCATTATAAAATAATTCCAACAAAGGCTATAGTGATCTTGTAATAAAACAGATTAAAATCCCAGAATCAGATGATGACCTCTCCTATTTATATGTTTATATATACATCTTTTTATATATATTTATTACACACTCTGCCAGGCTGATGTTGAGCAAAATAATGCAACGCAATTTCGTTCTGTTGTGCACTAACCCGTGTATCTCTGAATGACAATAAAGTAACTATTCTATTCTATTCTATTCTATTCTATTCTATTCTATGTCTGTGTTCTTTAGAAACTTATGGAATCTTTTACTTAATTTAATATAAACTTAATTTATCATTGGAAACTGTTATATTCTATAGCGAATACTGTGCCCATTATTATTATTGTTTTGTAGTTTACAGTTTCAATAATTTACAGTACAGATATGAGGCCACAAACAATGTAAGGCGTTGTAGTATAAGGAGGGCAATGACTACAATCTGTCTAGATCTGCTCTCCTTCCATCTTACTTCTAGAAACCTTAAATACATCGATATCCCTGATGTAAAACATCATTCGAACGGATTCGTAAAAGCCTATTGGTATAATAGCTTCAAAATAAACGCAGTGAAACCTCTGTTTATATTTCGCTTTATTCTTCCTGATTGAAATGACAGATGAACTGGCCAATAATGGGCAAATTGAAAAAAGCCCGATGGTAAAAAACACATATCACACATATAAGCAACAAATCAAAGGTAATATTCTTGAGAAGAGATTGATAATGCATTTAATTACCTTAAGTTTGTAGAATCAATGACTTCAGAAAACTGCAACTATAGCAGTGCGCAGTTACCTCGCTGAAATCATGTGTGTGTTGTCATCGCTGTCACTGTCCCTACCCCGTTTGCAGCGCGCATGTGCACCATTTTCGCGCATGCACCACAATGTATTTTATGTCCCGGTACCGTTTACTTTGATTGTGTGTTTATCCATTTCAGTTAACGGTGATGCAGGGACGTCCTTAAGTGAATTAACAACTAACTAAGCAAACCACAAACTGTAAAGGCCGCCATATTCAGGGTTACCAGCTTCGGTCAGCCGGTCAAGTGAGATTTTTAATTCGAGATGAGTCTGCACACACATGCACACGCATTTACAAGTACGTAACAGATTTATAATTGTAAACAGTCTGTAGTGTGTTCAAACTACCCCATTTATCGCCCCCCATCCATCATAACCGCTTATCCCGGTCGCAGTTCAGTTCTTACTCAACATGACTGAAACAGTTTACTGATACAGACAATATATTTTACAGGTAGGCATTTACACTGCAGCAAATAAAATACACAGTAATATGGCACATGGAGTAGAGTATAACTTCTATTTGAAGATTTGGTGCCCCAGTCAACTCCAGCATTTAACTTCGATTAACTGCTGTTGTCTTTTTAGTTGTCTTACACTTTTCATGTTTTTTTGATGATAATTATCTGAGCATTTAGCAAGACATACTACTTTATATATTATAATATACCATAATAATAACGATAACAAAAATAATAAAGTAGTTATGCAAAATGGATGCAAGCGTAATTAAGTAATTCTCTGTGGAACTGAAATTTCCGCAGTATGTTTCTCCGTTTTAATTCTTGATACACATACTTCCGGTTTAGAGCCGTCTCACCCAATTACATTTCAACAATTCTAGTTTCCGGCTGAGCGTTCAATAGAAATATTCGATACGTTAAGAAGGTGGGCTTCCAGTGCTTACGCGAACATTTTTACAGCATATTAGAATCATTTATCTCGTGTGGGCGTGGTTAGACCTTCGCACGTGGGAAAGGTTGCTTGTGCGATAAGCACATCCTGATTCGGTTAGTGTAATGAGAATTTGGTAGGAATATCTAAGTATTATTTGAAGTGGTATTATACAGTATGTCGTCTTTCTTTATAAAAAAAAAGGGGAACACCAAAGTTTCTCGAACAGATGAAGAGTCTGGCAGGAAAAGAAAGGTGGGTTCGAATGTTCAGCTTTTCCATTTTATCTTGCTTTGAATGTCGGGTTTTTCATGTAGCTTTTCGCCACATGTTGAACCACGTTTAGATATAAAGTTTGACAGGAACATCTTTAGATTTTTAACTAATTGTCAGCCGAAGTTCAGTCACAGTTATGGTGTTTTCAGGGTGATGGTGATGCTAAAATTAAAGGAACCCTAAGGAAACTTAAATCCAGAAGGCTGAACGAAGAAATCTCAAGTGATTCAGAAACAGAAAGGTAAGCTGATACCAAACAGGCTTTTTACTTTATCAAAGTAGACTTTTTTTTTTCTAAATGTGGTCTTTATTGCGTTTATTTTATTGTTTTTTTTTATAGTCCACAAGTCAGTAAGAAAAAAGACGTTGAGGAGGAACGGTTCGATGAGACCGCTCAGGAAAAGAAGCTCCGTCTGGCCAAACTTTACCTCGACCAACTACGGGAAGAGGGTGAGCAAACATGTGGAATGACTTTGCATTTCTGCCATACAGTATGTTTTTCATGTGTGGGATCGCGAAAATTAAGACGGCAATTTATGCACAGTAACAACACATGGCTTTCAGGTGGTGACGCTAACAGTCTCTGTAGTCTCATATTAAAGGTCACTGCAAAAGACAAATTTATTCACACTATTAATACAGAAGTAGTCTGTTTCCATTTATTAAACTAAACTTGCTCACGAACAGCCCCATAACAAAACATTTTATTTTTCAGAGGAGAAGGCAGCTGAAGACAAGTCTTACGAGGCAGCTGTGATTGCTGGAAGACTTCAGGAGGAAGTGGTAATTTCCATCACTATACAGTCCTTAACAGAGAAACACCTGTCATTTTTAAATTGCTCATGGACAAACAAGTTATGTCATTCCTTTCCTTTAGCTTGAACAGAAAGGAAAACTTCAGCGGTTCGTTGCAAGAAATGTAAGTCCTATGAGGTTTGCTTGTATGTATATGTTTTTGGTGTTTTTGTAGGGAAGACTGATCGTTGCTTTTTGTGATGTTTTGCAGTACCTGGTTCCAGATCCTGTTGACTTTCGTCTTTTAAGAGGCCATAAGCTTCCGGTTACCTGCCTGGTTATTTCACCAGATGACAAGTTCATCTTCTCTGCGTCCAAGGACTGTTCAATTATCAAATGTCAGTGACTGTCAAGCAAAGTGCTGTCTTTTCTACCTTGATTTTGTAGATGCTTATAGACACTTTAATATCCATGAATATTCATAGATGCTTTATTATAGAGGCCTGTATTGTACTTGAGTGCTTGTTGCTTAGTTAAAATGGCCTCTGTTTGTGCTCTGATCTTGTCATGCATTCTTGGCTGTTCAAATTGTGTTTTATTAATACAGGGGATGTAATGAGTGGTCAGAAATTACACACTGTACCTGGAGGAAGGAAGGGGACTGAGGATCGCCATGTGGGCCATACTGCTCACATCCTCTGCATGGCAATATCATCCGATGGCAAATACCTGGTGAGGCTGCACACTTACCTCAGTGTTAGACTCCTCTAGCCAAAATGACAGATGCAGTTTGAAGTGTTTTTATTAGCAGCTGAAAATAATAAATGCACTGGCACATTTGTAGTACTTTGCCTGCAAATTTGAAATTTACACAGGAAGTTGGAGTGTAATACAGTACTTATATAAAAAAAAATCAAGAAATTTTGCAAGGAATTCAATTCAGTCATTTCATATGTAAATATTTTTGCAGGCTACTGGTGACATGAATAAGTTGATCATGATTTGGGATGGAGCGACATGTAAACACCTCCAGAAGTTAACGGGGCACAGAGATGCTATTTCGGTGAGCTTTCAGACTGGTCTTTTGTTTGCAATTTAGAGTTTAGCAGCCTGTTTGATGGTCTTTGCCTGTGTTTTTTGTCCAGGGACTCTCCTTTAGGAAGGGCACTCATGACTTGTATAGTGCATCTAAGGACCGAGCAATCAAGGTGTGGAATGTGGATGAGAATGCATATGTAGAAACACTGTAAGTATTGTCATGTTAGAAAAGTCCTTGAAGTAGCGCGTTTACCATTCTGATTGGATAGCCTGACCCCCATAATATATAAAAACTGGCTGTGAGTCTGCATCAGCAAAGAGTGATCTGAGTTTCCCTCTCTAGTTTTGGTCACCAGGATGCGATCACGGGCTTGGACAGCCTGGGCCGGGAGCGGTGCGTGACGGCGGGGGGCCGAGACGGCACTGTCCGGGTGTGGAAGATTGCAGAGGAGTCGCAGCTGGTGTTCCACGGCCATGAGTGCGTGAGACTGTCAGTCTGAGAGTGACAGCCGCTTCTCCTATGTGAAGAGTGGAGCAAAGGGCTGGTCTCGTCACACCTGGACTAAAAGCGTTATCTGATAAACAATAACATTTCTTCTGTTGCTAAATGTACCTTAACGCTGTGGCTGTGCCTTTGACTGTTTACTTCTTGTATATTAATGTAGATGTGTTACAATGCATTATATAATAACACCGCATTATATAATCACTTGACAAAATGTAACAAATTTATAGACTATTATAATTTTATATTGCAACCCTACTGATGATGATGATGTTATTATCGTCATTCAATTTGTTACATCTTGCCGAGTTATTACATAATGCTATAAGAGCTACAAGATGCTAGATGAAGGCAGGGAATCGCTCTGCTTTGAGTTCTGGCCTTGCCTGCTGTGCAATCTAAACGTGCAGGTTTGATACTTAACACTTAACCATTTGCATTAAGCCCGTTTGTTATAGAGTCTGTGTCCTTATGTGGATTTCGGATTTTTTTAAATCTACATCCATCTCTGATTGTCTTTTGTATTGTGCATTTTCAGCCGTTTCAAATCACAGTGATGGCAAAAGGATTTTTTTTTATTTTTTATGCTTTAGAGGTTCCATTGACTGCATCCAACTCATAAATGAAGAACATATGATAACAGGAGCAGATGATGGGTAAGCAGGATCACTGAGTGCCTGTGGTGATGATGATGATGATGATGATGGGTAAGCAGGATCACTGAGTGCCTGTGGTGATGATGGTGGCGATTCGGCTTACCTATAATCACCTTGTACACATGTGGTGTCAATGATTGTAGTAGCGCTGGTGATTATGGGTAAGCCGTGTGCACACACGGGATGGTGGTGATGATGATTAAGCTGGATCACCGTGTGTGCATGTGATAATGATGATGATGGTTGTGCTGTGGATGATGGGTAAGCTGCGTGCACACATGCTCCCTGCCTTTCGTTCATGACGACGATGAGCTGCACTGGGACTGATGGCTGGCCTCCTTCCCCAGGTCTTTGGCCTTATGGAGCGTCAACAAAAAAAAGCCGCTTTGTACAGTGAAGCAGGTGCATGGTGTCCATGGAGACAGTGGCCTGGAGCAGCCCCATTGGATCTGTGCTGTGGCTGCTCTGCACAACACTGATCTGGTGGCCTCAGGTACGAGCCGCCCTACTGCTCTTGGAGTGACATGCTGTGTCACTTCTTCATTTATTAATTTCTGCACCGTCATGGTTTTTTAATTCATAAAATCTGTAGTGATTGGGTCTGGAAGTGAGGCCAGCCCAGTGAGCGTTTAGGGCACAGCTGACGGCAGCGGGTCGGGCCTGGATATTTAGGGATTTAGGGATTAGATCTAATCCCACTGAGGTGGGACTGTGCTGCAGTCCAGCACAAAATAACTGCATTCAGGCTCCTTTGAATCTCATTGATACGGTTTTGTGAACAGTAATCTGTAATTGGTTTAGTATTTTTCTGAATGATTCTTCTATATTACACATGGTCTTATTTGCTGGATCATGAGGATATCACTGTATGTATGTTGCTGTCTGATCTGGAGACGTCCGACTGGCTGCAGATCAGTTTCTGCCGCTGTGAGCTTGAGCGTGGTGGCTAACCATGCTGTAATTGCACAGGTTCCCATGATTCCCAGGTGCGGCTGTGGCAGTGTGGCGACGGCTACCGTAACCTGCAGGCTCTCTTCAGCATCCCTGTGGTAGGCCCCCCCCCCTCTCTCACTCATCAGCCCTGCTAACTGGAATGAGAGGCTTTCTCCATGGAATAAATCAGGAGTTGTCCTACCAGTTAGGTGCTGTTAAGGTGTGATAAGGATACTTTATCAACTCTGTCCATCTACCGTGAGCACATTGACAGGTGCCTAGATCCTAGCCAGAGAGCATAAGGCCTAACTCAGGGGTCTGTCTTAGATGGGATGCTAGTCCATCACTGGGAACATACATTCAGGCATTGTAGGTGATTTAGAGAAGTTTGATTGTCCAGAGAGGGGACAGGTGCATGGGGGAAACAAACAGCAGTGCAGCAGAAGAATAAATAATACATAAGGAATAAAAAGGTCATGTAATATCCTCCTGAGACCCCACCCATTCATTTATGTCCATTGTAGTTTACATTTTGTTTTTGCATCTTTTCACTGATGCAAGGAAACATATTTATTCCTGTTGTACACTAAAGAGGGCATGCTGTGAAATTAAAAATAAAAACACATTTGAAAAAATTTCCTCCAAAGACATAGAAAATCACAATTAACCTAAAACTGAAGGACACTTTTTTCCTTGGGTCTCAGGAGGATTTGGGGATAAGGAGGTAACACTTGGGCTAAGTGGAATACAGGAGGTAATCTGTACGATTTAAAAAGAAAAAAGCCAAATTCCCCACACACAGCAGATTTGTTACCGACTCAAAGCCTCCATCCTGCAGATTTGCTGTGATAGGGCTGCCCACTGGGCCTCAAGATACACCCTTAAATGTGCTAAATGCCAAACCTTTCCAGTACAATGCCAGACAGTGTGAAACCCCAGCAGAGCCCTGCTGAGGACAGAACAGGGGGGGAGTAAATGTTTGCACACCATGTTCAGTCTGCCATCTTTCATCTGGCAGGAAGGTTTCGTGAACAGTCTGAAATTTTCAAACTCTGGAAATTTTCTGGTGGCTGGAGTTGGCCAGGAACACAGGTAAATATGTACCTTTATAATTACTGTGTGCAAGCAATATCAGCATTAAATTACTACAATGGAAGGAAGGCAAAGGTGGCAGTGAGTGAAGGATTTTCTTTGTCATTATCAAATAGATTCAATGACATGTTAGGATGGATTTTCCCATGCATCTGGTTGCTCTGAGTATCAGTAATTTGTGCCTGAATGATGGAGTTATGCAAAATGAAAAAGTATGCAGACTTTTTTTTTAAAATATGCACTTCAGAAGACACTTTGACAGAGAAGAGATTTGTCATTATCCATCTTGACAAACCTGTACACAGTATAAGAATTTATGTTGTATGAAATTAGCAGTAGATCTGTAAGTAATTCTTGCTGCATTGTGTTTGATAGTTTATTGATATTTTACATTGTAATACCACCCTCTCCAGAGACAACATTTAAAATGCCCTTGTTTGAGAAACATGTGGCACTTGTAGTCAATTGTATGCTATTGGAAGATTGGACAGTAGGTGGCAGTGTCACCTGAGCTTTTTCTCTGGAGCAGCCTATACAAAACTGATTTAGGGAATGTTTTGTTTTTTTTTTCTTTTTTCGGCCACTGTTAACAAGCTCTCTGTGTGACAGGCTGGGCAGATGGTGGAGAATTAAGGAAGCAAAAAATGGAATTTATATCATTCCACTGAAGAAACAAGACTCAGGCAAATGATGGGAAAAACATGTATGAATATAAAAGCTTCAGCAGGCTGACATGTTAACTGTACACTTTTTATTGATTAAATAACTTGAATCGCTATAATTTGTGCCGTGCATCTGTTGCATATACACACTGATGAGGAAAAACATTATGACCACCCCCACGTAAAGCAAATAATGTTGTCTAGCTAGTGAAAAGGGGGCCTGTCAAGGTCTGGGATATATTAGACAGTTGGCTAACCTTCAGTACTCTTAGTTGACATGATGAATACAGAAATAGGCAAAGATAAAGATCTGAGTGACTTTGACAAGGGTCAAATCATGGGTGGATGACTGGGTCAGGCTTGTGAGGTTCTCATGGTCTGCCATGGTGAGTACATCAGTGAGTGGTCCGAGGAAAATGAAAAACCTCAATCTGCCGACATGGTCTTGGGCAGCCAGGATTAATCGATGTGAAATGTGAACGAAGGCTGTCCCGCCTGGTACAAACCATAAATTTGATGATGATTATGGGATAATGTGTCAAGCCCTGTTATGTATGGGACTGTAGCCTTAAGCCAATCAGAGTGCTATGTTCCGACACACACAAGAGTCAGGACTGGACCTTGGACCAATTAAGGTCACCTGGACCGATGACTGACGAGTTCGATTGACGTCCACATAGCCCCATACACGGCAAGGCTTCTTGACCCATGTTAATCCTGTGATTGAGATTATCTGCCATTTGGCGACTGGAGCCCTCCGGTTGGATGGTACCACACAGGATAGCCCTAATAAATTGATTTCCAGAAATAAATAGCAGCTGTTAAGGAAACACGCAGTTCATTTTTTTATTATATATTTATTTTGTGAAATGTAATGACAAAATGTCTTTGTGTACCGTGATAAGTATAGGTACTCGCTCATTAAAGAGAACTCGTTTCCAATGCAACATAAACTGTTTCTAATTTATTTTGAACCAAGATAATATAATAAATACTAAATGGTCAAACAGCTGTAATTTTTAATATAATTAAGAACACATTTTATTTACATAAGAAAGCACAAACTGGTTCACCAAAATCTACATTAAAACATTTTCCTTGATACATTGTAAAGCTTTACTGACTCAAATAAAAAGGTTTCTTTAATGTAGAAGAAGGTGTATATTGAAATTTGTTTTATTGTAGCTACTGGTCAGGGAATGGGATAACAGAACATTGTATTCACAGCACTTGACAACAAAAGACATCCTATATCTGCGACACTTGGCATTTTCCTTATTATTGTTACTTAACTATCAAGTGTAAGTAATTGGCGTATTTGGGAGGTGGTATAGGTGCCCGTTTCTCACAAGGAGGACGTTGTGGAGTCCAGCACCTCTCGACCGTTACACACCGTCGGCACGAAATTGGAGGCAGAGGCTGCAAATGTAGGATTTTAGGTTAAACATCCTGAGTGGCTCCTATTGCTGCTGCCATTGAATTTGCACTTACATTTGTTTCATGTTAGCAGATGCTTTTGTCCAAAGTGACGTACAAATGAAGCAAATTACAAACACATGTGCTGTCGGTGAGTCAACTAGGCATAAGTGCGGCTAGGCTGAGCTTCCAACTAATGCCCAGAGCTTCCAACTAATGCCCAGGTACAAGTGTAAGAAGCTTCGGAGCAAGAGTTACACAATGTCTTCCAATCAAAGGAAGAATCTATTAAAACAACCGTTCAATGACCAGAAAGTGCAACATTAAGAATGTTCAGATTGAGTTCATTTTTGTGGAAAATAAATACCTGGAAAAAATGTCAGTGTTTATGTTTCAAATCTAACGGAAACTAATGCTTTAATTTGTGTACATATAGCCCTGAGTCAGCATTGCTGGGCTGTGGCCTGTACTACGAAGCGGGGTTACTGGCTTATCGGGGTAACTTGTTGGATTTAAGGTAGTCTGGGCAAAATGTAAGTGAGCGAATATGAAGTCCATTTAAGCTGTGGTACCTTAAATCCGACAAGTTACCCCGATAAGCCAGTAACCCCGCTTCGTAGTACTGGCCACTGGTCACACAGTGGTTTGAGGTGAAATTATTATTACTATTTCAAAGCAGAATACACGTCATTTAATTCAGAAGTGAAATCTTCCTTTATGGAAAAAACACTTTATTTGCAATTCTACATTGAATTGTTATTCCAGAAGCCAGTATTCAGCCAATTAATAAACCTGCATGAATAATCACATTTTAATAGCCTTAGAATTATGCCGCTGATCTTTAGAAGTTAGTAGGGTGTCATGTAACTATGAGCCTACATTGGATAAAGTCATGGAAAATGAATGTTGGTGTATGTTGCCTCTTGCTAATGAGTGATCAGGACCATAGCACAGTAACCGTGCCGACGGCGAACTACGTACTTTGGGAGTGGCTGGACGGGGGGCCTGTGGTTACGCTGAAGCGAGCGGTCGGCGCTCTCAGTGTGGTCACGTTCTTCTGAGGCTGGAAGAGAATGATGTGTGTCTTGGGGGCGAAGAGGCAGCCCAGGACCACAGAACCGCTGAGGCTGACTGAGATGCACATGGTGGTGGTCTGTACCTGGGGGGGGGGCACCAAGGGGGAGGAGGGGCAGAAAGTTCAACTTAGCATCCTGTGGTTACTTTGCATGATGTATCATCTGTCACAAACTCATCGTAAACTACAGACAAGGAAACATAGAACTGCAGCAAAAAAAAAAAACCTGAGATGAGCTGAACTAAAACATCATTACCTTCCCAAAAACAGAACAAATCATTTCTGATTTTCAAAATGCCCAAAAATGTAAGTGCACACTGTTAGTATGATTAGTAATGAATGATTGATTGAATAAATGACCATTAATGAAGCAGAGCTGTGTTTGCATGTGTACTGTGACTGCTACACCTTCAAAAAGTCTAAAAACTAATAACTATTACTGGTCAACAAATACTTGAGGACAAATTATGCTCATAAAACTGTAGTTAAAAGCAAGCATATTATGTATTCTAGTTGCAGCTCTGAAATATGTTGCTTTTAATGGGTAAACAACTCAGCTGACCTTGACAGCACAGATGTCAGCGCTGTACCTTTCATGTTCAGGAATATTTTGGGCTTTAACAGTTGTTAATATGCCAAATGATGGTTAATAATTAATATGTTTGGTTTGTCAGATTTGATTCTGTTTCATGATACCATCCAGACCTGTGGGAATTAAATAATTAATTTGATAGAAGGAAAGTGCAAATGCTACTACCTTTCACAACAGAAATTGTATTCAGAACTGATTGTGGTAACTCCTATAGTATACAAGAGCTGATTTTAATGCATGTGTTTAATTATTTAGCCTGTGATGCAAGTATCTAAATGAAAACATGAAGAAGCAGGACTTCTAAAGTGGTAATGTGAGGGCCTTTCTTCAAAAGAAGAGGAAGGAGATGGTGGCAAATGTGATTTTTGAGTTCAATGGCTACTTTGCATAGCCATAAATGTTGAATACAGACGCTCCTCTACTTACGAATGAGTTACGTTCCGAACGGCCGTTCATAACTTGAAATGTTCGTAAGTTGTTATTCAACATCATTTAAGGGTATACGCAAGTACAAAGAACTAGGATGCTGGGAGTACGCTACGCTACGCAGTGGGAGTAGCAGCCAGAAGTCGTACTAGGTGGAATTGCTGCACAGAAATTATTTTTTTGATGTTGTGGACAGGAAACGGGAGCCCAAGGAACACAATCTGAACTTTCGTTCATATGCCTGAAAGCTTGTAAGTTGAAAGTTCGTAAGTATAGTAGCGTCTGTACTGTGTTCTTTGTTTAACAAAGACAACGTAAGCCTGCAACGCTATGTTGTAGATAGATGGATTCATTACATGTGCAAATATACTTTTATAAAGATTGATCATTACTGAAGTAATATTAAGCATTTCATTAATCTGTACAGCAAGTCTCCCTTGTGAATTTTAAACCTGATTCCTCCGATAGCACCACCCCATACAATCATTAAAAACAGATTTTATTGCATAGGTAACTGCATGCCCCAAGACACTAAAATATGTTTTGAAGAACAACTTCAAAGCGATTTTGTGACAACCTTAGGTTGACGGGCACAATGCTAAAGGCTGCAGCGTGAGTAGTATCAGTGCTGTTATGAAGGCCTCAGGTGGCCGGACACAGAGCATCATCTGGCACATGTAGGTCGAGTCCGTCATCGTCGCCGCCACTGGGACACAGCTGCCTTTCAGCCTCTGACATTAGTTTACACTCCATTCCACACAGCAACACATTCCTATAGTCTTGATCAAGGCCCAAGGTGGGCCACAGCCCATTTTGTGCCCCTGGGCGAGCTTCCCTGCCAGGGCAATTGCCCTTTATTTCACTTAACTGCATGTCTTGTCTGGATCCAGAGGGTTAGGATTATGGCTATGGTTATGGTTAGGGTTAGGGTTACTATTAGGGGGTTATGTTTATGGTTAGGGGTAGGGTTACTGTTAGGGTTACGCACTTTACTCTGCCATTTACTCTCTGCTCTCTATGAATGTCTTTGCCCAGAAAAAGCTTGACATGTCACAATAAGATTATTACATTACGTTTTGAGCCTGTCACAGGTAAATTGTTGGTATGAGTGTTATACCACCTATGTGAAAGTACTGTTTTTATGCGTACATAGTTTTAATTTTCTTTAAGCTGTCAGTCGATAGAATAGTCGATCAAACTCAATGTACACTGGAAAATGATTGTACATCTATCCTGGTATTTACAACTGCAATACAAGTATAATAAGATAAATGTAAGCATTTAACTAAGTAAAATATCCCAAGTTTGATTTATTTATTTATTTATTACTTTGATGTTTGGTGAGGTTTTCCTACTAAATAATTACCATGCATCTTAAAAATCTAGTCTTGAGATCTAGTCACAAGTAACCCAAAAGGTTGTCAATAAAAGATGCATTTTAATGTGTTCCTTTGGTCTGAATCATCTCTTTATTCTTTAGTGCAGCAGATTTTGCTCCTTTTAGCTGCCTTAAAGAAAGATAATGCAAAGAGTTTGCTTTTATCTGTCAGATCTGCATGTAAAACCGAGATAAGAACATACGATCTGCCAAAAAGGCAAACGACTTCAGTATCACTTCTTTGTCGGAACAGTTCATGCTGATATGGAGAATCACAACTACCGGGCAGCTTCCTGCATACCTTTTTTAATGAAGTATGTCTTCAGTGCTGAGATATTCCGTACAGATCAGGGCTGCCAACTCTCACACATCTGATGTGACAGTCACGTTTTCAAACTCTCATGCTCATGCAAGAAATCTTGCAGCAAATCTATATTATTGTATTATAAACAAGGTAATAAAACTGTTACATATATGTAAATGCGTGTGCATGTGTGTGCAGACTTGTCTCAAATTGAAAATCTCATGCCACTCAGCTGACTGAAGTTGGCAACCCTGGTACAGACATAGGTGACAAAAAAGTTGCTTACCCTGTAGTCACTGGCGGTGACATAGAATATGGGCTGGAAGGCCAGCCAGATGATGCAGGTGGTGTACATGGTGAAACCGATGAACTTGGCCTCGTTGAAGTTCTCTGGGCACTTCCTGGTCTTGAAAGCGTAGACGGTGCAGAGCACGATGAGCAGGCAGTCGTAGGTGAGGGACAGAAGCATGCTGGAGTCCTTGCTGTTGCACTTCAGGATGACGATGTCCCGCCGATCCGGCTTCACCTCTTTGCGCACATCCGGCACCTCCACCAGCAGCCAGACCAGCAGCGCCACCAGCTGGCAGGAGATGAGTGCTGAGCAGATGGCCACCTGCGAGGCAGGACTGATGAAGCGCGGCCTCTGGGCACCATCCCGTACGCCGCCGAAGATGCGTGCGATGCGGTTGGTCTTGGTGAGCAGGGCGGAGTAGCAGATGGCGAAGGAGGTGCCCAGGCCCAAGCGGCGGAGGGCGCACACGGTGGCGGACGGCTTGGCCACGTACACGAAGGTCACGCTGTAGCACATGAGCACGCCCAGCAGCAGGATGTAGGAGAGCTCGCGGCCGCTCGCTTTCACCAGTGGCGTGTCGATATTCTTTGCAAATACGCCGATCACAAAGAGCGTGCAGATTATGCCGAGACAAGCGATGGTGACGGGCCCCACGGCCCAGGCGTCCCCCCACTGGATGTACTCCTCCGGCAGCTCGTAGCAGCCCGTCAGGTTCTCCAGGGGCCACTGGCCCAACATGCAGTCCGTGCAGTGGAACTCGTCCAGCAGGTACTGGTGCGGCTGGCAAGGAATGCAGATCCAGCAGCACACATCCCCAGGCTGCATGCTCTTTACCTCATTCTTCCTGCAGGGGTCACTGCACTGTGATGTTGGAAGTGCCTGTTGGTCCCACAGGATGTGACTTGTATTCAGCACCAGGCCCTGTGCCCAGTAGCCCACTTTGGTGTAGACGTATTTTCCGTCGTCCTCGTGATAATGGAATATGTTGTAGCGGCCGAGGCTGTCCCCGTTGGCGTCGAAGCTAACAACATTCTCCGTGTCTGCTGGACGGAACGGCGCTTCAGAGAGTGAGAAATCAAGAGAATGGTCAGGTCACTGAACTTCCATTGAATAAAAATCAACTAGATATCACTGTTACACCAAGTTCAAAATGTATACCAGCTGTTTTATAAGTCTCTTTTTGGAATCACCATCCTCTGCCAAAGATGTTTTCCCCCTTTGGATCAATAAATTTATATCTCATTATAATATATATCATTTTATTTCATCGTCTATTAGTATATGAATAAGACTGGAGGTAGTATAGGGAACAGGTGCAAAAGATGCATTCTGCTCAGGTTTAGACCTCCTGTGTTACAGGCTTCTCCCTTTGAAACACAAGACCACTCCTGCATGTCTCTCTCTCTCGCTCATCTCAGGCTGCTGTGCAATGCATCCTGTTTGTGATGGGGCTTATGAAATATATTATAAAATGAATGAGCATAAGGGAAGATGTTGACCCCCCCCTTAAAGGTGTGATTCCCATGAATGCCACATAACACATTTGCAAGAATACCCTCTCCTGATATTTCTCCTTTTATTTATTGAATATTTATAAATGATCTTATATAGATATTTGTGTATCTGATACTGCAGGGCTTACAATTGCAAATATCACCATCACTATTCATTTGCAAAATATAACAACAGATAAGAACCTGAGCTAAATAATTCACACTGAAATAATTTGTCAAACATTGGCCTTCCTTTTTCAAAATAATCTGTTCTAATAGAGAACACAGATGCTCCGTAAAGTGTCAGAAGAGAATATTGGAACAACGTTGACCCTGCTATTCCTCCCATTACAGCTGTCGACACATTCTAGGAACATGACCTTTTTGCTCACCATCAAACCTGGTCTTCAAGACATAGTCCTTGTACAGTTTCTTTCCGGTGCCTGGCTTCATGGCATCGCAGATCTTGGTGGAGTTGGGACACACTGCCAGCCTCATGTTGTGCAGAGCGTGGGCCATGGCATAAACAGCATTAATCACGAACATAATTTTGGACTCCTGCTCAAAATTGCCATCACTCAGGGAATACTGCCCGCAGCTGAGCTCCTGAAGACTGCACTGGAAGCGATGTTCCCAGAATTCCCGGAACCAGGGGTTGCGTGTATTGTTGTATGGATCCAGCTTGGTGAAGTACTGAGTGAAGTCCTTGATGGGGTAAGAAGCTAGCTCGATAGTGAAGGCCCCGTTGGCCACCGGCTCGCTCCCACGCACCACGCTCTCCTGTGCCCCCCAGCCGTCACTGGCCACCCAAATGAAGGTGGCGTTCATGCGGGCAGCTGCCACCAGCAGCTCCCGCGCGTCCTCGCTCCGTGTGAACAGGATCACCACCTTGGCGTTGGCTTTCTGCTGCAGGGCGCGAATGACTGCATCGTAACTCCAGCGGCTCATCGAGCGGCTGACCTTGGCGGACGTGGCGATGCAGATGTGGCGAGCCCGGGCCTCCTGTTGGAAGGCATCGATGCCGGTCTCTCCATAATCCCCCTCCGAGGCTACGGTGGATACGTAGGTCCAATTGAAATAGCGGAGGATCTCTGCCATAGCTTTTGCCTGGTAAAAGTCTGGTGGGACGGTGCGGGCAAAGTAGTCGTAGCGCGTCTTATCGCTCAGCTTGGCGCTGGTGGAGGCGTAGCTGATCTGAGGGATTTGGAACAGACGGAGTAGATTGGCTACCTGTAATATAAGGATTTGGGTCAGGAGCCAGGAGAGATGGGCTAGAGCAGATGTGTGCAATAACAGCAATAAAATGCAGCAATAACATTTTAGGAAGCACCAATTAAATTAAAAGCTCTGAGGGTGGAGAAACATCACAGCTTCTGTTTATACTTTTGTGATTTGGAAAGACGGATATCCGCAGTTCTGCTGGAGGCATTTCATTACATTCAGTGAATACCATTCACCTGCCATAACTAATACCGACCGACCAAACACATGAGTTACTTTGTTTTGGGAGAGTAAGTTATTGCCATGGCCTCCCAGGATCTTAAGCCAAGCCATAATCGGTGAAGCCATCAGCCAGAGTGTGCCTCTGACCTTTGACCTCTGACCCTCACCACTTCCCCTTTGTAATAATAAATGTTGTCAGAAATCATTATTACCAGTATTTGCACTACCTTAACATTCACAGTTCAAGCACTGATGAATCGCAAAGCCACAAGATAATAGCATTTTTCTTCTGAGCTGCTTCTTCCTGCACACAATCAGCATTCACAAGATGCCTCAGAATGGTCTCCAAACCTTTTGAAACCTTTTTTTTTTTTTTGTTATTTCTGGGAAATAATGATCCCTTCCTGAAAAAGTGCTGATATATTTTTAATGTCACCCACATGTGGTTAGTTTGGTTAGATTAGTTTACTATGGATACCGAAACCATGTGCGATGTAACATTGTGAATTTAAAGTGTTCATCGTGTCAGTGTAACTAACCCTCGTCCTTCAGAAAAATCTGGACCCAGCATATTGATTGAACTGCCTTAGCAGGAGCCATGGACCACCTTGTGTTCCTACATCACGATGCACCATTAAAATCATTTAGAATAACTTGTCTACCTACCCATTTGTCATGTAAGAGGCATTCTCTCTTATCTTGTATTGTTATTTGAACAGTCGATGACATCACTTTCATATATGTTACCATAGAAACCAGTAAGACAGAGAAGAAAATTCATTTGGAAAGTGGGTAGTTAATATTAGAGGTTATTTCCCCTGTGACTGCTTGGTGTCAGATTTTTTTTTGTACTGCGGAGTACAACATTTTTTTGTACTTTATTATGTTTTACACCACCCTGGAAAAAAAGGAAAATGTACATGAAGCTTATTGAAACGTAAATATTTTTGAGTTATTTTGACTTACTCATTAAAACATTTTTCCATAAAAGCATTGATAAAACATGGATAGCCATTTTAAACTTTCCTGTCATGACAGAATTCCTCAAAATACAATGAAACATAAGCATCACACAGAACTGGCAGATGTGCATATGAATGCTATAGCAAACAGACCTTGTGTGCCAAATCTGGTGCCCCCAACAAAAGCTCACCCCTATGCACCCCATCCATCCATCCATCCATCCATCCACCACTTATCTGGGGTCGGATCCTGGAGGCAGCAATCTAAGCAGGGATGCCCAGACCTCCCTCTCCCCAGCCACCTCCTCCAGCTCCTTCAGGGGAATACCAAGGTGTTCCCAGGCCAGCTCAGAGATATAATCTGTCCAGCATTCCTTAGGGCCTCCTCCTGGTTGGATATGCCCAAAACATCTCTGGAGGGGGCCGTCCCAGAGGCATCCTAGATACAGTAGATGCCCAAACCATTTCAACTGGCTCAAATGCGGAGGAGCAGCATCTCTACTTCGAGTCCCTCCTAAATGTCTGAGCTCCTCACCATATCTCTAAGGCTAAGCCTAAAGACACCCTGCAAAGGAAACTCATTTCTGCCCCTTGTATCCACAATCTCATTCTTTTGGTCACTACCCAGAACTCGTAACCATGCGGGTAGGAATGTAGATTGACCAGGAAATCAATAGCTTTGCCTTCTGGCTCAGCTCTTTCTTTACCACGATGGAATGCTTCTCCGCTGGAGATCCACACATCCACATGCACAGTCACATCCTTTCAACCCTTGAAATCGCTTGTAGGACCACTGGCTTCATAATGCTCACAGAGTTTCATTTAGAGACATTCTTAGTCCAGAGAGACACTAAGTGACATGTATGCACAAAGACACAGACGCACAAAGTGAACTGTGTGCACATACAAAGACATTGAGGTACACTAAGTGACATGTGTGCACATACAAAGACACAGAAATGCACAAAGTGACATGTGTGCACATACAAAGACATAGAGGCACGCAAAGTGACATGTGTGCACAGACAAAGACATAGAGGTACACTAAGTGACATGTGTGCACATACAAAGACACAGAGATGCACAAAGTGACATGTGTGCACATACAAAGACATAGAGGTACACAAAGTGACATGTGTGCACCTACAAAGACATAGAGGTACAGTACACAAAGTGACATGTGTGCACATACAAAGACACAGAGATGCACAAAGTGACATGTATGCACATACAAAGACATAGAGGCACGCAAAGTGACATGTGTGCACAGACAAAGACATAGAGACACATACAGAGACATTTGTATACAGACAGAAATACATAGAAACACAAAGTAATGTGTACATACACAGTATTTGGCATTCCAGGTTCAGAAACTATAAATCCAGACCAACATATTGTTCCTACCAACCAGTTGAGCATAAAGAGTCACAGTCAGAGTACTCACCAGGTTGGTAGAAACAAAATCTTGCTCTGGATTTGTAATTTCTGGACCTGAAATGTCCAATACTGCACATACACACGGAAACAAGTATGCACTTCTTTACACAGCGTGTAGTTAGAGTATGGAATAGTCTTCCTGCTAGTGTAGTGGAAGCTAAAACCATGGGTTCCTTTAAATGAGAGCTAGATAAGATTTTAACAACTCTGAGCTATTAGTTAAGTTCTCCCCAAACGAGCTTGATGGGCCGAATGGCCTCCTCTCGTTTGTAAATTTCTTATGTTCTTATGCAGGTACAAGGACATAAAGACACATTTAGAGATATACAGTATGTGTGCGGATACAAAGACAAAGAGAGACACAGAGATATGTGTGCACTTTCAGAAACAGAGATACACGCAGAGACAAGTGGCAGCAGAGTTGTTGACTCAGTATGTGATGTAGCTGTGTACAGGCTCCAAGCTTCTAGAAACACGCTCTGCATTGGATAACTTGTTACTGAAAATAGATGGATGGAATTTTACTATGTCCACACAATATGTTTTATTCACTGTCTTGGATTTAAAGCCAAAAATACCTACACATTCTTCTGTGACATTCTGCCAATGAACTCAAGTATTAATGAGGTAGAAAGGCAAAATATAATTTAGTTACTTTCTTGGATAAGCAAGCCGATAAATGCTGCATGGCCTCCATACCTGGATAGAGACATCACTGTAGGAGCCACCAATGACTCCAGAGATAGCTAGGGGTAAGTCGTCATGAATGGCGTAGGAACCGTCAGGGCAGATGTACTCTGTCTCGTCCACCTTGGTGAGAGAGGCACGGACAAACTCCAGGGACTGCTCCAGTGCGTACGTGTCCTTGGAGCAGGAGTCCAGGATGTGGGCACCTAGCCTGAGGCCTGGCAGGATGTGCTCATCATGGTTAATCTCATCCAGTGCCAGCAGCATGGCCTCCAGCCTCTGGATGCCACGCTGTTCGTTAACTGTGCCACAATCCTCTGTTCCTTCACCCTTGTGGTGCACAGGGAAGAGGCCCCCAATCACCAAATCCCCCTCGACCAAGATCTCCCGCTTGGCACCTGTGCTATAGCTGGATGTAGCCAGAGTCTCTGGGACCAGTAGCAGGAGGAGCGGCAGCAGAAGACAGGAGGGAATCCACGCTTTGAGCCAGAAGCACGCAGAAGTCATGGCCATGGGAGAGACAGGTCACTTTAGTCCTCGGTTTTGGACTGGAACAAAGATGGGCTCTTAACGCACATTAAATCATCATGATGTTCTGTTCCAACTTTAGGTGTTTTGTTTCAGCTGCAAAGATCTACAGAAAAAAACAGAGGAAGTGTCAAACTTGATTTTAAAATACAGCAGTACCACACTTTATACTAATGTGCACAGACCAGCAGATACTTTGTGGTGGCTGTATGGCTCAGTAGGTTAGGGTGCTGTGCATGTGACTGAAAGTTGCCTGTTCAGCTTCCAGGGTCTGCAGAATGATGTCACCTTAGGGGGCCTGAGAAAGGTCCTAAACCTTCAGTTGCTCCAGGGACTTGCTGACCCTGCTCTCACAAAAATGTGTCACTTTGGATAAAAGAGTAAGAAAAAAATTGTATATTTTATTATTCATATATCTTGAGTTTTTTTTTATTGTCTTTTGTTGCAGTTTTTACAGTCATTTTCACAATATCATGTCTACTGAATCAAAACTCTTCACAAGTAAGCTTTACAAATCACCAGAGGCTGGGACTTTAGTCACTGACTCACATCTCAACTCAGACTCAAGTCATTTTATGACTTGTGACTTGACTCAGCAAAACTGATGGAAAGACTTGGACTCGACTTGCGCTTGAGGGCAGATGACTTGTGACTTGGACCTGACTTGGACCCTATGACTTGAAAAGACTTGAGGTCATAGCCCCCCCTCTGGATACCATAACATTAATTTTATAATTTCAGTATATATTAATTCTCTGCTGTCTGCATTTTCATTTGACTGAATGCAAGGTCTCCTGAGATCCTGCATATACAGACGTAAAAACTGTGTGAGGACAACCATGACAAAGTGGATACTCTCTTTTTAACCTATCTCTGCTTATGAAGGACTTTGGTACAACATGCTATGGTGGATTTTTGCTGCAACAATTTTTAGCCTCTAAAAAATAATTTAAAAAATAGATACAGGTGGAGACACAAGTTACATGGCTAACAACTCGACTCGGACTTGAATCACAAATTTGTTGACTTGTGACTCGACACCAAAAATGATGGATAGACTCGGACTCGAGGCCACATGACTTGAGACTTGACTCAGACTTGCAATGTTTTGACTTGAGGCTTGACTTGGACTCGCCAAGAAGTGACTTGTTCCCATTCCTGGAAAACACACCTGAGTACATCAATTAACCTGTGCTGCAAAGTGCACAACCTCCGAAACATTTCATACTTCACCCAAAAGTGATTCATGCTGCCATAACTATAGCATATGCTCTCTTCCAAAAGACTGCTGTGTCACTGATTGTATAATCAACTAAAAAAACACAAACAAATTGAAGCATCACAGAATACACATGTGTTTCCATGTCCCCTACTTTTGCATAGTGGTGCCTTGTAAAATAAAAGAAAACATATACAGACATACAGTAGTAACAGTGGAAATATCTCTTCAGCAACAACTACTTCACTATATACATGCACATTCCAATGGAAATTTTACCACTTTTGTACAGATACAAAAATGCAAACTAAAAAACTGAATAAACTTTTGCTAAAATCAGAATAATCAGTCTTATTTCAACTTTGACTAGCACTTAATGTCTGTCAAAATGCAGCATATTTCCATCTACAGTGATCAAAATTTTGTCTGGTTTTGAGATGAAAGTTACCTGTTTTGGTCGGTATCTAAATGTCTGAAAAATTTGCTGTAGTTGTACATAATTTTGCTGCTGTTCAAAACTGATGGAGAGAGGTATTCATGAATTTTGGAGGAAGTAGTGGTTGAATACATTTTGTATCAAAGCAATGCAAAACTAAACATAGTTTAGTTCACACAGTCTACTGATATGGTGCATGTGTTAAGTGTTTTGAAAACGGGGACATTGTATTGAGAAAAGTCTGACAACAATTGTAAAAAACTGCAAATTAATTCACCTTTCAATGAAAGGTTAGACTGAAACTGAAAGTTGTCCTGGACTCTTAATAATAGGAAGAAGCATGATGTATGAAATGAAATCTTTAAAATTAGTAGCCCATGACATACAGAATATTGTCTCATTGGTTTGCATGAGTTGAATAAAGTCCCAAATGATAATTTCTCAGCTTATTTAAACAACTGTGACTTTTTTTCTCGATGAGCCCAGAAACATTCAGTGCTGTATGATGGACCTGGACTCCCATCCAGTAAGATTTTTTTATTCTTTCCTGTTCCCACCAAAGTTCTCACTTCAAGAATTCATTAGCTTAGTCATTATTCTGTCCCTCAATTTATCGAGCTTTCGCAGACAGAAAAAGAATCTCATAACCATTAAATCAGTAAACCTATGTGACAGCTTTCAGAAGTTTACATATTCAAATTGCACCAAGATATTAGATCCATTTTTTTTAAATTAGATTTTATTTTAATACTATTTTAAAATGTTTCTTTTCAGCTTAGTTTTTGATTGCAATAACGCATTTTGAACCTCGATCCTGACACCTGGGGGTCTGGATAAGTGGCTGACCTTGTGCTCAGACCCCAAGATTTACTCATAGGGGAATAAGATGAGATATGTGTAAAGAAACGATCCCCCATGTATTTTTACAAATAGCAAATAAAGTAGCAACAACATGATGGAGTTAGTTAAACCAGGTAACCCATTTTTCAGGGATCAAGAACCCTTTTTAAATATGATGCATCTGTTCTAATCAGTTATTCCAATCAGAAGCCCCCACACACACTGCCAATGGAAACTGTTCTTTGAGAGCCAAGTCATTAATGAAAGTTACAATTTCTCTTGATTGCTCCGGTACATTTCATGAAACATTCTCAAGACTATAATAGCATTTCTCAAAATAGCATATAGCACAACACTATGGTTTAGCTGCAAACGCCTTTACCTTACAAAAAACATTTAACTCAAGTTTTGGGTGTAAAATTTTTACAATGGGAAACTACACAATTGTGCCAAATGATGACAAGTGTACAAAGCATTTGCATATACGTACTAAGACATTTGGATGCTTGTGTGAAGAAATGAGAAATTATGTTCCGCTATGCAGAAGTGACATTATGGTGTGGGAATTATACTTCTTGTTTTGCAAATATTAATTGTCATTTGAGAAATGCTCCAAAACAATTGAGAAAAACTATATTACACCAATGCACAAATGGTCTTGTACAACTGTGCAAAGATTATGTAGCTTCCTAAAACTATATATATGTATGTGATCATCGTGTTAGTCACCACATGCAAACAAGCTTTCAAAATGATTTAAAAATATATTCCATAAATTGCAGCGATACAGTATTGTTGTGTTTTTGGTTCCCATGGTACATGATTTTGTTGTCCTCTTGTTGTTCTTGTACTGCCACTTTGCTGTGTGACCTTTTTGTTTGCTATTATACTGTGTCTTGAGATCTGAAGAAGTTACATGTGTACGCGAGTGCTTTCTCTCGCCAGTGAACTTTACATACTGTAATGTAGAGCCTTGTGTGAAACTGGTGTCTTTGGATACATCCAAGGCCAATCTGAAGGTACGGAGCCCCCTAGTGTCTCCCCAGGATACCCTCATCAACACTTTCCAAAAAAATGTTTTGAGGGCAGAAGGAAAAATTGGTTCAGATAGATAAGTGTAGAGGAGGTGGGACCAACCAATCAGATGTCTTAGTCCCACTTCCTCTACTTGCTTGGAACCAATCATTTTTCCTTCTGCCCTGAGAACATTTTTGTGTAAGTAAAACTCCCACAAGCTCATCAACAATGAACTGCAGAATGCTGCAATATGCATTTACAGTTACTGTTGTGTTTTTTCCATTAACTATGGTGTCTGCATTTCACCAAGTGGCATAATGCAAATGATGCAGCTGCTACCAGCTACCTAAACATTTAGGTGACTGAGCCTTTCCATCACCATCTGAACACTAGATGGCAGACAAACGAGAGGAGGATGCTTCATACTCCTGGTTCACTCCTCAACAGCATTAACACAGCAGGAGTATGCGTCTTGGAGAGAAAGTCGTTTTCACAGAGAACACTGCATTTCTAGCTGCTCTGTCCACAAACTTATCGTCTTCCCACATTCAGCTGGGAGAGAAGTCGGGACAAGTATACTAATTCATAAAGACTAAAAATTTTCTACTCCACTGAAATCTCTTCACTTGGTCCTTCTGGAATCTCTGTTCCTGCTTTTGTTTAGTAATTCATTAGAAGCTTCAGCTAGCTGTACTTCTATGATGTCCTTTCTGCCTTACCTTTCCACTTTGAAAAAACCATTTGATTATGAAATGAAAAAGTAATCTGTGTGAAACCTGCTCTGGTGTGCTCTCTGCTGTATAGACATAATGTGTGTCAGACTAACAAAGCACTTTCAATCTGGTGATGAAGCTTTTCATCCCACCTAATCCAAAATATCACCAATTTATAGTCTTCTTCTAAGTGAAACATTTTGGTTATCGGTTCAGAAACAAGGAGAATGATTTACTGAGCACTCTCCCAATCTCAATCTCCTAACCCCACTTTGCACAATAACCTGGCAAAAACTCTCTTTAATATATACCAACTAAGCAGTGGTTCTCTCCAATTTCACTGTTCACTGGATTGGACACAAGTTTACCTTCAGGGCCCTGGCAAAAAGTAGCAACGGGCAGTCCCCAGGATACGAATGAGATCCGTTACCTAAGTCTGTATTAAGTCAAAATTGTAGGTAAGTGGGAACAAGTGCGTATGGGTTTTATTTATTGTCAGTCAGATGTTTGTATTAGTATATATTTTACCTTTATAATGCATATAAAACTCTTACAAAACACTTCCAAGTACACTAAAACTTAAACTTAGTAATAAAGTACACAATAATATTAATAATTCAGTAATAATAAAACTACTGTACTGTAACTGTACTGTACCTCCAATCTGTTGTAATATTGTGTTGAAGATGCATAAATGCTAATGCTTGCTTTGTGTCGGCCATGTTTATTAAGCAAAAGTGGCATAATGAAAATGATTCTGTTAAATACTTCACGGAGTCCTGCCGACGAACCACTGAAGTTGCAAAATGTTTTCATGAATGTCACAAAGTAGTGTGTGCATTTGTTATTATGAACCACAGCAATTAATTCGAAATTTTTAT